CATAAACTGGGATTTTCATTGAGGTTAGAAGCACCCTAGATTAAATCACTCTAAATTTTTTTTAAAAAAATCTGGCTGGATGGGCTTTAAACTTTAAAAACAAAACAAAATTATTTCTCTCTCTCTCTCTCTTTCTTCCCCAAGTCAAAGTTACAGTACCTGCATTTAAATCTCATCCAGTAAAAAAAAAAACTCAAAAAAACTCTGAAACACACATTTGGACAAAAAAATAATCTGCTGGAAGCAAGAAGTCTATTTGTCTCTTTTGCTGTTATTTAATCACCAAGCTAGTTTCCCTGAAAGTCAACAGGAAAATGGCACAAGGCATTTTTGTTTTTCATTCTGCAAACACAGGCAAGTGATTTCTGGGAAAGGTAAAACAAGTCCTTTAAGCAGCCAACTATTAAGACTCAAGTCTAGCTCAATACACTATTGATCCTGGAAGAAGAGACCAGATACGCTTGGTTTTATTTTATTTTATTTTATTTCTTCCAATTAACAAGTTCTAATGTCTGGATTCGACAGAGGGGGAAAATGCCAGCCCTCAAATTGCAGAAATGTTGCAAGTGGATTGGAAAGATGGATAGTGGTTTGAATGTTGGACTAAACCACTGGAGACACCGAAAAATCTGGAGACCCCGAAAAATCACTCCTACCTAGAACTCTTTCTATTTCTTGACTTCACAGTCCCTTGATAAGATTGGCTTCCCTTTTTCTTTGCTTGCCTAAACTCTATTTCTAAATGCTCAGTGGAAGTTTGGAAGCTGAAAGGAAATTTCACTGGGAGAGGGCAAAATTCGTTGCTGTTGTATGCCTTCCAGTCTTGTTTGGCTTATGGTGACCCTAAGGCAGAGGTAGGCAACCTTTCCCCTTTAAGGACCGAGGGACTTCAGCTCCCAGAAGCCTCAGCCATGTTGGCCAATAGTCCTATGTTGGCCAATAGCTCCTGGGATTCTGGGAGCTGAAGTCCCTCGGCCCTTAATGGGGAAATGTTGCCTACCCCTGCCCTAAGGTAACCCAATCTCAGAGTTTTCCTGGCAAGTTCTGTTCCTTTGCCTTCCTCTGAGGCTGAGAGAGTGTGACGTGCCCAAGGAGTCTTGGTTGTCCAATTTTGAAAATTATTTGATGGCCTAGTTTTTAGTGACCTTGAGCCCTCCTTGTTCTGCAAAAGGCAGGACTCTTTCATGGAGAAAGATGGAGGACTCCGTCAGTTTTGCTTTCTCCCACATTGGAATTTTTGTAGACTGAAGGCTCTCGCTGCCCAAATCTTACAAATATGGGTGCATTCTCAAAATACCAACTGAGAAAATGTGTGTTTTCCCCCCTCCTATTTGCACTGGCCAGGTGTAGTAAGTACGGCTATTTCCAGCATGTTGCGGTCATTGTCGTGTGGCTTCAAGACATTTCCAACTTTTCTTGGGGTTTTCTTGCCAAGATCTGTTCAGAGGGGCTATGCTTTCGCCTTCCTCTTTGCCCTTTCCTTTTGGTTCTTGCATCTTACAAGTTGAAACGATGCATGGCGTAGACCGTTGACTAGGACTCTGAGACATGGGTTCAATTCCAGGCTCGGCCATGAAACCCACTGGGTGACCTTGGCCAAGTCACACTCTCTCAGCCTCAGGGGAAAGCACTGGCAAACCACCTCTGAACAAATCTTGCCAAGAAAACCCCAGGATAGATTCGCCTTAGGGTAGCTGTGACTTGAAGGCACACAACAACCACAATAGGAGCATGCAACCACTTTCCTGCAGAGACCGTCTGCAAAGAAATGTCACCAAGGTCTTCTAAAGTCTTCCCCTGCTGCCAGCCTGGTAGGAAACCCATGTACAAGGCAGTTTCAATACAATCCAGCTAGGATCACCGGTTGAAGCCAGAAGCCCTGACATTCACTGTCGCGCACTTCAAAAGAGCGCTTATGTTTGATGACAAGCGACACGGCTCCTTATTACAGCCGTCTAATCAAAACTGCTATTGTGAAATTATATTCCAAAGATCAAACCACCCGGAAGACTACAGGCAAGGAGAAGCTGGCAAGAAGTTGGCCCCACGTCTCACATTAAAACATTGCATTTTCATTGACTACCGTATTCCCTCTACAACCGTGACAACACTCGTAAATAGCACAAGCCACAAAAGCTGGGCTCAACAGCCAATGGCTTCTGGATTAAAGAGAGGGAGAATCGGCATCTTCCAAGAAGGGAAGGAAGAAATCAACTTGCAAACTACCAACTCTCCCATCAAAATAAGACACTTGCAACTGCAACACTTAGCAGCCAGCCAACACAAACATTTCCACAAGACATTCCCCCGCTTATTAAATTTATACATGATCACAGCTATCCTAGACAGATAAATAGATAGACGGAGAGATGGATATATATATAGTATTTTGTATGCTGTATGTTGTTGTAATTATGCTGGTCTGTAGCCATGATATCTATCTATCTATCTATCTATCACGGCTATCCTGTTTTTATGGAAAGGTATAGTCTTTAGTGGCACAGTATTGCCACACCGCGAGATAATATTTCCAGATAAAGCTTCTCATTATATATTTTCCCCCGACATATATATATTTTTCCCCCAACCTTTCTCCCTAAAATGGGACTCAAGACGCCTTGAAATTAAATGCAACGGATGCAATTAAAACACAAGATGAATAAAAGCTTCTGGACAGTTAAAACACAATTTTAAAACACACCAGTAATAATGCGGCACAGCAGGCATAGAACAACCCCTTCCACGTCAAGCAATGTCAATTGCAAAAGGCCTTGCTGAATGAAAAGACTGATGCCTGCTAATGCAAAGAGATCAGGGAGGAAGTCAATCTAAAAACACTTTTGCAGAGAGTTCCACAGACCCCTGGGAATAGCTAACAGGAAAGTATTTTGCCACAGAGTTGCCTGGCCTCATTTATGGAATATTTTCCGGAGAAGCTGGGTGCATCTATACTGTAGAGATAACGCAGTTTGACACCAATTTAAGTCTTGCAGTTCCATACTATGGAATCCTAGGATTTGCACTTTTGCAAGGCCTTTCGTCTTCTCTGCCAAAGAGTGCAGGTGCCTCACCAAACTACAAATCCCAAGGTTCTGTAAGATGGAGCCATGGCAATTAAAGTGGTATCACACTACATTATTTCTACAATGTAGATGCACCCCCAGGGAACACAAACCCCTATGGATCCCAGTAAATCTACAAAATAAGCAAGATTTGGGTGTTTCAGCTCATTGTTAACCCTGTTACCTCCCAGCTCACACCAGTCAAGGACCAGAGCTTAGAAATAATCCATTACATTTAGGGACAACAGTATCATATATAACATTGTATTAGGAGGTGATAACTTTTCTTTGCAAAATGGCAGAATAAAGTAGTGTCACTAGGAGTGTCACGTTTATAATAAATAGCATTTATTCATTACTTCTAAACACGTTTTGGTTTGTTGGGAGAATTTTGTCCACCTCTGCATTTTTAAAGACAAAACGTAGCCACATACACATATACACATGGCTTTAAAAAGAAAGCAGCAGCAACATAGCACTTTCAAACTAAAATGTAACAGCAACAGGTTACTCAGCCGATAAATAACAAATTGCTTTTTAAGCCCTGTTCTAGAATTATGCGTTTGGGGATAGAAACCCCTTCCCTTGTCACAAACATAGACTCGCATTCATCCCAAAGGTGAAACAGCTGGAAATCAAACAGAATTACTAATTTTTCTCTATCTCCTCTATACATTAGGAACGTTTTCTGTGGACTCCTAATACCAAGCATATTTATCATTTTCTAACCATCATTTCTCTTGGGTTTGCTGTCTCCCACCTCCTCCTTTAAGTACCATTGCAAAAAGACCAAGCCAAGCTTTTTCCCCTTCTGTTTTGTCTGATACAATTGTTCTCGAAAAACTCATTCTTGCTTTAAAACCATTCAGAAGAAAGTTCTGCATATAATAAAGGAAAGGAACATACTTCCATCTGGGTAAGACCCATCAACTTTTAGCTTCCCCAAAAAAATGTTTCAAAGTCCGTAATAAACTCACATTGAGCAACGCATGCCCCAAATTTACTACTACAGATAACAGGGCTTCTTTTAAAATAAAGGTCTTTTATCTGAAGCTTTGCTCTCAAATCTTTAAGAGCATCCTACCCTTTTTCCTCACCTCTCTGATGATAATAATAACAACAAGCATGAAAGCCACTGAACTCCTGTCACATTTATTAACTCCCATCAAATTTACTAGTATTATTTTACCAAAGGAAGAGAACTGGGAAAGAAAATCACTTACCCGGTAAGGACGACAACAAAATCCATCACGTTCCAGCCATTTCGGAGATAAGAGCCTTTGTGAAAAACAAACCCCAGAGCAATGATTTTGATGCCAGCTTCAAAGCAAAATATTCCAATAAAGTATGGCTCAGTGTCATCCTGGAAAGAAGAAAGTGGAAAGGAGATATGAACGGTGTATTTATTTAATGGACTTCTTAGGTAAAATAATGGTTGACCCAAAGATGACTTTGTTGTTGTTGTGTGTATTTCAATAGACTTATGGCAAAACAATTATAAAGGTGGTGGTGTTGCTTTTTTGCAAGATTTTACTCAGAGGAGGTTTGCCTTTGCCTTCCTCTGAGACTGAGAGAAAGTAGGTCACCCAATGGGTTTCCATGGCCAAGCGAGGATTCGAACCCTGGTCTCCAGAGTTGTAGCTCAAATGCTCAAACCGCTACACCATGCTGGCTCTCACAGAAAAGTAATATGTGGTACAAAAGCTAAAACTGCATTAAACAATCAAGTCAACTGAAACACCCATTCAAAACAATTAAAAACACATAAGATGCTTCCTTTGTTGTTGTTGTTGTTGTGTGCCTTCAAGTCATTTTCGACTTATTGAGATCCTAAGATGAACTTATCATGCGGATTTCTTGGCAAGATTTGTTCAGAGAGGGTTTGCTATTGCCATTCTCTGAGGCTGAGAGAGTGTGACTTGCCCAAGGTGGGTTCCATGGCCAAGTGGGGCTTCGAACCCTATTCTCCAGAGTCATAGTCCAATGCTCAAACCACTAAACCACTCTGGCTCTCTGCCCGATTGTAAGTTGCAGGAATGAGGGACCGACATCTTGCCTTTTATACTGCGATTTCACACAATGGCAATACTGTTAAAATACAACAAATAATCAAAGGTCCCACTGGATTCCGGTCTTGCAAAGGAATAAAAGACAGTGGAATAATTGCAGGAGGAAGCCAAGATGAAGTATCTATATGCCTTAGAAAAATCAGTCCTGGATTCTAGAAACTCATTAGCGTTCCTTACAACTGGGTTCCCTAAACATGCTTTTCTCTGTCTCCAAAAGACCATCCTAATAGGTTAAGGTGTATTGCAAAAAGGACGACTCGTGGGCTTTTTCCTCCTCTTTCTTTTTAACAAAAGCTAATATGAATGGCTCATGCATGGCTGCTTGAAGAGCCTGTGGTTAGGATAAAGAACAAGAGCCATTAGCCGAGTGAAAAAGCTGTCACGCTGAATAAGGGAGAGACCTAGTATGCCCTGCTGCCATGTCAGAAGCATCTGCAAAAGCTGGCCAGAACTGAGCCTCGGGATGACAAGCAGCGCATTCCTTGCAAACCAAAAACCTTCTGCAGGAACTGGTTACACCCAGGGACCATGTGTTCCTACTTTTCCTCCTTTGCCAATGCAGAGCACTGATGCACAGAGACAGGCTGCCCAGCTAAACAGCAGGAAAGATTTCCAAGAAGCAATCACTAAGAGTCAAAGGAAGCATTGTATCAGTCAGCATCCAAGCAGACCCAAAGAAAATATTTGCTGCCAGGAGTGGAAATCTAAATGGAGATTTCTCCCTTGCAGGGACACCAAGGATGGTCAACCTGGAGCACTTGGGCTGGATTATGAAAGCCTTTGGAAAGCTTTCATTTGAGTGTTGGACTACAACCCTAGAGGCCAGGGTTCGATTCCAAACTTGGCCACAAAACCCATTGGGTGGCCATGGGCAAGGCACATGCTCTCTCAGTCTTAAATGAAGGCCATGACAAACCTCCCCTGAACAAATCTTGCCAAGAAAAACCCATGATACATTGGCCTTAGGGTTGCCAGAAATCAGAAATGACTTGAAGGCATACAACACACAGGGAAGAAGAAAAGTGGCAGGGGAAATGTGGTATGGCTGAAAAATCCCCTTTGGGGAATATCCTCCAGTTTCCTGAGCCATTATGGAAGAATGGAGAAAGAGATTCCACTTGTTTTGCCCATTCCTTCTGCACAGTGGTGCAGATTGGGAGATGGATTCAGATTACAAAAAAGAGATTCCACCTAAATATTAGGAAGAATTTGTTGACTATGAGAGTTGTTTAACATTGGAACGGATGGTCGCAGAGAGTAGTGGACTCTCCTTCTTGTACCATGGATCAAACATCAATCAAAATGGAGACTGCAGTCAAGAAATAAAAAAGAAGAATGGGAATGGGTAGGGCAGCCATGAAAGAACTAGACAAGATCCTCAAGAGTAAAGATATACAACTGAGCAATAAAGTTAGAATCGTCCAGGCCATTGTATTCTCCATCACCATGTATCATGGATGTGAGAGCTGGTGAGGAAAGTGGATAAGAAAATCAACTCATGTGAGATGTGGTGCTGGAAAAGAGTGCTAAGGATACCATGGATGGCCAAAAAGTCAAACAAGTGGGTCCTTGAACAGATCAAGCCCGAAATCTTCCTAGAAGCCAAGGTGATTAAATTGCGGTTGTCGTACTTTGGCCACATCATGAGAAGTCGTGAATCATTGGAAAAGACGATAATGCTAGGAAAGGTAGAAGATAGCAGAAAGAGAGGAAGACCACACACCAGATGGATAGACTCAGCTACAGAGGTCATGGGCCCGACTCCACAAGACCTAAGCAGAACAGTGAAGCATAGGGAGTCTTGGAGATGTCTCATTCATAGGTTCGCCATAAGTTGGGGCCAACTCGAAGGCAGCTAACAACAACAAACAAAGATTGAATGGGTGTCTTTCAGGAGTGCTTGAAATATGTATTCCTCCATGGCAGGGGGCTGGACTGGGTGATCCTTGTAGTCCCTTCTTGTTGCAAGATCCTATGATTCTGCAGAAGACCACTTCCTCAAAACTCCTGTCTTTCATTTACAGAGAAAGGCTTTGCATGACTAGGAGCAGCTGCCGCTCTGCAGTTTCGGCCTCAGCAGGGTATTACTGGCATGCTCAGAGCCTGGCTATTGACCTGAGCATGGAATTTATGACTAATCTACTCAGTCAGGAGAATCATGATACAGAACTCCTGGGATGGACAAATCTGTCTCACTTTCTCCCACATTCAAATGTTGCAAATGTTGGTGAATCCTAAGTAAAACAGAACAGGATAGTTGGATTATGAGGGACAAATCTGCCAGTTTGACTTCTCCCCCTCTCATGGTAAAGCATCTCAGGGGCCTTGGTAGATCAAGAAGCAATAAATAAATCCCACATATACATTATAAACATAATATAATCCTATATATAGCACGTTCAAGCCATTTCCAACTTATGGTGACCCTAAGGCAAACCTATCATGGGGTTTTCTTGACAAGATTCATTCAGAGGAAGTTTGCCAATGCCTTCTGTGAAGCTGAGAGAGTGTGACTTGCCCAATGTCACCCAGTGGCTTTCATGGCCAAGTGGGGAATCGAACCCTGGTCTCCATAGTCATAGTCCAACACTCAACCCACAACACCACACTGATGGTTAATGTATAGTCATAATGACTATAGAGGAGGAATCGTCCAGGATGGTAGTTCAGTGATTCCATCTAAAAAGGAGTGTAAATCTCTGTTCGAGAATTTGTCAGGCCCCAATGCTGCCAATTTTTAGGAATTTATTGAAAATGTGCTCTTGTGACACACCTTTTTTCCTATCCATAAACTGCTTGTTAGCTCATCTCCTATGTTAGAATCATTTGTGTTTTCTCCTGCATCCCTTCTAGTTACTTTTATTATATTGTTGTTGTTGCAAAACTTCAGGGTCTGGGGCAAATGAGTAGCAGTACAGAAATATTTCTGATCAATAAAAGAAATAGCAATTTTTAAAAAGAATATATTGCCTTCTACATATACACACAACATCCCACGACGTAAGTGATACTCACCAGCCTCTCCGACATGGGTGTCTTGTCTCCATCTGGTAAATGTTGCTCCAAAGCCAGAACAATACAATTAGCTATAATTGTAGCCAGGATCATATACTCAAATGGAGTGGAGTCAACAGTTAAAGAAAAGGGAGAAAAAGCTCCTCGGCAAAAGAGAAATGTCAGCAACACCAGCAAGTGTGTGGATTGATACAACTTTCATAAGCTCCCACTGTTTTCAGATACCATTAATCTCCCAGGATCATGCATCATTCCTTCTGTTAAACCACAAGCACATCCACAGTTTATAAAAATTAAGGCTTTAGCCCATAGTTGAATAATCGGTGTGATGGAAACCCTTTGGATTGACTAAAAAAATGCCCTCGGTGAAGCCAGGATTTGTGTTGTTCTTTTTAATCATTAACTTAAAATGGGCCCATAAATATTTCCAAATCTTTCCAAAAAAAGGGGGATAGGATTTGGTTATATATTTAATGTTTTTATTTCCTCCTTTTTGCTCTTTTCCAATTAAACCTTGCAACTGAAATTGGCGGTGGAGGAGATGGGATCGAACCCAATCCTTAACTTCCCATATTGAAAGATTTGGAGAATCTTGTCATCTCTCTCTGTCCCAACCCACTGCACTAGCCACCAGTAAGTCTAGGAAACAATTTCTTTGCTCAGTGATTGCAAGAACAAACAAGAAATCAGCTTGCAAAAAAGAATATTAACTGATGAGCGTAAGATCTAAAATGTCAGTTCTTTATTGCTCCTGAACTGTGGAACTCCCCCTCCAAAGAAGATCATGCTGCATTTACTCCTTCTGGATTTCCAGCTATTTCACTTGGTCACGGGTTAATATTAGGAGTGTCATCTCTGGCTGTTTTTTAAATACTATTTTTAATTGGCTTTAGAACTATTTTTAAAAAAGAGGTTTCATGTGTTTGTAGTTGGTTTCACTATCAGCCTCATTCCCAGTTTTTCCCCAGTTTGACACTCAAAGTGAATTACAACATGCAACAGATTTGGGTTGTGTTTAATGTTTTAAGTGATTTTATCCTTTGTGCACCACTTCAGGGACTCTGGTGGGTTCTTAGGGAATAAAAAAATTGCCAGGACAGAAAGATAGATGAAGGAAGGAAGGAAGGAAGGAAGGAAGGAAGGAAGGAAGGAAGGAAGGAAGGAAGGAAGGAAGGATAGAGATGTGATGGTAATGATGGAGATTATGAAAGGTATATAAATATTGATGTTTTCCATGCATGTACCTTTTTAGAAAATATAGAAAGAAGTTCTCTTCCCCCCCCCCCCCCCCCCCCCCCTTTCATACAGCCCTGTTAACTATCCATCTTCAGGTCAACTGCATCTATGGTGACACCATCATAGGATTTTCTTGGCAGGATTTATGGAGAAGAAGCCTGCCACTACCTTGCTCTTGGGCTGAGAAAGTGTGACCAGGTTCACCCAGTGGGTTTCCACAACCATGCAGGGATTCAAAACTTGCTCTCCCAGAATCCACATCCAACAGCCAAGCCACTTGCCAGAATTACGAAACATACACTGTCACAAAGCGATGGACTACATTATCATCCTCTCGAGTTAGCTTCAAAAAGGTCACACAAATTCATGGGGATGAAAGCTATCTAGAAGGCAAGTAGTCATGATAACTCTGTATTATTTCTGAGATTAGAAGCACTATGTCTCAGAGAAGCAGTTGCTGGGAAACACAATCTGGAAAGTGCTGTGCACTCATCTCCTGCTTGTAGGCTTCCTAGATGCATCTGGTTGTCCAACGTGGGATCAAATTTGATCTGATCCAGCAGGGCTCTCCATATGTTCTCATTCTTTACAAAAACCCTGCAAGGTAGGTAAGGTGGAAGAGGAACGATTGCCTTTCCCAGCAGGTGAGCAGATTGCCTTTTGGCCATCCAGCCTGTGCTGAAAATCTGA